TCAAACTGCACCATTGAATATTGATCGCGCATACATGCGTTTGTGACTTTTGTTTTATTTTTTGGGGAGGGGGGGGAGGGCAGGCTAAAATCATCTAAAAACACTCAAAAACGGATGACCAACTGAATGCTCTCAGCTCTCCGACTCTCCGCATTGTTCAGGGCCCACCTGTCTGACATTTTGGTCGTTGAAGGTGAGTGGATTTGTTTGTTTGGCACAATTTGGCCAAGAGTTCTAGTTTCTGTCGCGGGGATTCGCTTGGTCCCGGGATCGGTCCTGGGTTCGAGGTTGGTCACTGTCACCGGTTAATCGTGATACTTGGTGTGCCAGACAACATTCCAGATTTGATTTTGCAACAGTTGGAGTCTGAGAGCAAGGACTCCCATCTCAACGAGAAGGTGTGACTGAGCAACGAGACCACGACAAAACATATTTGGCTGCTCACATCAAAAGTGCATGTAGTATTTTTCAACCGCATAGAGCTTCAATACAAGTCCCTTACGTTCAAGATCCCTCAAGTATTCAGCGCTAGTGAGTTTAGCTGCCGCTCATATTCGTCCAAAAATGATCCGATCCATCCGAACTTTTGCGTGGAGTTATCCTATCTCGTCCTTGAACGGCAACCCGAGGGGCAAGAACCGTGAAGGGACTTCCAGATTCGCACAACTGGAGATTTGTTTCATTTTGTTTCCAAAGCACCCCTAGTCCACAGTCTTTTGTTTCTGCTCAATGGAAGAGCACTGTTTCGGACACGCGGAAACTTTGGCATTTGTTTTTCTGCTGTAGCAGCAGTGGACGAATGGAACAATCGTGTGTTTTTGTTTCCGAAACGGTTCAGCAGAACGACCGCCCAGTCGGGGGGGGCAGGGCGGTCCGGTTTTGGGTTGTGGGTCACAACATCCGTGCACGAGGAATGAAAAAGAAGCAAAATCTCAAAACAAGAGACTTGGCAGCAGTGTTGGTTGCTGGCAGCTGGAACCGCCTTAAACACGATATAAAAGTTTTGTTTACTGCCAGAAGAGGTGTGACCAAGCGTTTTGGTATGGTCCTGAAATGTTTCGACTGTTTGGAAGGTTGAGAAAAGCAAATCCATGACATTGTGCGGCTGGCAGATCTTTGAACCAAAGGGCAATTCGGCTCAAATCTGCAGATCACCCACCACGCGCCCGACTGCCCGAACGCCCGAACGCCGGCGATGAGCCAAACGCAAGTATCCAAAAAGAGAAAATTTGTCGCTGATGGCATCTCGGCTTATTTTGCCTGTCAGTTGAGAACATCGTAAATGTTTTTTTTTTCTCACAGTCAGGACAAACATATGTTTTTGCAAGGACACGACTAAGGACATGTCATCAATAGATTTGGCAATTTTGCAGTTTTATGCTAATTAGTTATCATCTTCCAGGTCGAAAGATATGAATGGACAAGTAGACAGGTCCTCTCAGAGAGTGTCCGCTCTTTTTTGCGGATTCTTTTGTTGCACTCTTTCGGCAGGCCCAGGCCAGGCTTTTTAAAGATGAGTCGTTGCAATTGGTGTCTCACCAATCATGAGATGAGGCGTGTTCAATGCCGAGCTGAACGAGTTCTTGGCACGCACCTTGGGAGAAGACGGCTATGCCGGTGTGGAAGTGCGTGTGACCCCCATCCGCACGGAGATCATCATCCGCGCCACCAGGAGGGAAGCTGGGTCTACTCCCACTGAGTGGAGTCATAGTCATAGTATGTCATAGTCAAAGTAGAAGACGCGGTGTTTTCTTCTCCCAGTCAGTAGATTGGTTTGTGAATCACACTGAAACTATTTGACATCCCAAGTCATCCCGTGGTCGTTCTCGCCCACGTCGTTGCGACCGACCTGACTTGGAGGACCCGCGAGGTGCTGGGCGAGAAGGGTCGGCGCATTCGCGAGCTGACGGCCCTGGTGCAGAAGCGCTTTGGTTTTCCAGAGCAGCTTCGGCAGAATGAGTCGAAGCCGAAGAAATGCTGGGGCTCGTAGGATGTCATGGGTCTCGGAATGCAAAGTTTGGAGAGAATTAATTATTGAAGGCAGTTGCCACCTTTTTGCAGGGTGGTTAGAACTTTGAGAGCCAGCTTTGTGCTATTTGGTTCTCCCCCCTTCTCGATACTACATAATCTAAATTACATAACATATTGATGCATTGGGGCTATGAAGGAATTTCCTTGAACACCTTCCGCCCCATTTATCATTTGTGTGAACGGGGATTTTCACTCGTTTCCTTTCATGTTTGTTGCCGATCGAGCCAACCCTTTTGCTTCAGGAACAGCGTCGAGCTCTTTGCCGAGCGCGTCGAGAATCGCGCCAGCTGCGCAATGGTCAACCGATCGGCAAGACTTGGGTCCTTGGGTGTCTTTCCAAGAAACGGGGACTTGCCACATACCATTGGTAAAGGGCTTTTGATTTTGGAATATTTTGGAACTGTTTGTTGTCAACCACCGCTCCTTGTCTTGGTTTTCATTTTGAGACGGTTGAGGAATCGAAGGTTCTGAGGTGGCAAACCGTCAGAAAGAGAAAGTCATAAGGTCTAGCTCAGGCTCCTGGTCCCCGTTGAGCGGAATAGTTGGGAATTGGATGGGCTCAACCCACTCATGTTCTGCCGTATGTCATTGTCAGTGTCTCAACGGAGCCGTCATCGACTCAGCGAGCTCCAAAGTCCGAGGCTCAGTGCGAGTCCTTGCGCTTCAAGCTCATTGGTGGCCTCGCAGTCCGTCGGGCCTGCTATGGTGTGCTCAGGTGGGGACGTGAGCAAGCCCAGCTGGTTTTGTGTAAAGCAAGACGCTGGAAAATGCCTGGCAGAAGGGAACATGTTTGCAAGTCATTTTTTCGATCTAGTTACTCATTTTGAAACACAGCCGCATTTACATTTACATTCAATCAATCATAAGAGCGCTGCCCCACATTTGACTCTACTGGCGCTGTTGTCCAGATTCATCATGGAGAACGGCGCCAAGGGAGTAGAGGTCATCATCAGCGGCAAGTTGCGCGCCCAGCGAGCCAAGGCTGAGTCCGGAGCTATGATATTCATCATTCTTTTTTTGATATAGTTTGATTTAGAGTAGCTTTCGAGATGACGGGAGCAAAAACAGATGATGGGAACCACTTCTGTAACAACATGCAAAGGCAAGGAGGCCAGGAACAGGAGTAGTTGGACACCTGCCAGGCCATGAAGTTTAGACAAGGCTACCTGATCTCCACGGGAGAGCCCAAGAGACACTACATCTCAGAGGCAGTTCGGCACGTGCAGATGCGTCAGGGTACCATCGGCATTAAGGTTGCTGGGCCGCAGTAGACATGAACAGGTTCTTGCAGAGTTTGCTTCAAGCAATTTAGTTATCGTATAGGCTGCTTGACTCCTGAAAGCAAATGCTGAATGTTCTGCCTTCAACTCCTGAGGTGAAGATCATGATGTCGCACGATCCTGAAGGCTTAACCGGGCATGTCAAATCATGTGGCACGCAATCGACTCTCATGTAAGATATGGAGCTATGTAGGTACGCAGTGTGAAGGGTATACATGCATGATCGTAGCAATGTGTTGCTTTTCTGGCGCAGGCAAGATGGGACCAAAGATGCAATTGCCCGACAACGTCGTTGTGCATGAGCCAAAGGAAGAGGTTGTGCCAATGATGCCACCTCCAGAGCAGGAGGAGCAGCAGTATAGCTACAACCAGGGCCAGGGCTACGACAACAATCAGGGCTATAATCAAGGCTACAACCAGGGCTATAACCAGGGCTACAACCAGCAGGAAGGCGGCTATTGAAACTTGACATGCAGTGGATATATTTTCAGTGCTTCATGTCAGGAGTCACTTTTTCATGTCTTATGCGACTCTTCGCCCGGTTCACGACATGCGATCGGAGGATCGGAGGAAAGGAACCACGCCTCAAACGCTCAAGCTCGGTGCGGTGACATGTGCGGATTTGGCAAAAAGGAGCCATCCCGGCCCCAAACGTGGCGTCCCCAACGTTTGCAAACGTTTTCATTGCCCATTTCCCAACGTGATGATGGTTTGTCATGAGTGCATCAGTGCAGCTAGATATTGGAGTTGGCAACATGATGCAACATGTATTTGTTGCGATGGCTTGGCCCATCCTGAATCCTTACATATCCTTGGTAAAGGGGTGGTAACAGAAGTGCCCTCCAGCCTCCAGTAGCACCTGTTGCTTTTGGCAGGGTATGACTGGTCACCCAAAATGACAACATCCGAGGTGGATGTATTGCCAGTTTTTGTAGCTGCATCATGGCTTCTATTTATGTTTGCGCTTGCTTTTCTTCCTCCAAAGGGTGTTCCGGCTCAAGTCCGCCTTGTTGACGCTCCTCACAGCCATGAGCCAGACACAAGTCTCCAAGAAAAGAAAATTTGTGGCCGATGGTGCCTTAACTGAACGTGTGGATTAAAGTTAAGTCCTAAGTAGCTGAGAATTCATACACTTCCAAAGCACTGGATCCTTTGCCACTTTCAAGTTTTCAATTGACAACCACCCTCAACGCCTTCGTGTTGCCCTTCTGAGGCGTGTTCAACGCCGAGCTGAACGAGTTCTTGGCACGCACCTTGGGAGAAGACGGCTATGCCGGTGTGGAAGTGCGTGTGACCCCCATCCGCACGGAGATCATCATCCGCGCCACCAGGAGCGGGATGGAAGAACTCTGCCAGAGGTGAGGCGACACTGCCTGCAGCAAAACCAATATCCAATAAATGGAGGCGCTGCAGAGGTATAGACCATACTGTACATCATATATGGCATGGAATGAAACGGTCTGGCTGCTTGCGCCAGGCTTGTTCTTGTTGAATATTTCCAAGAGGTCCTTGTTTTGTGGGTTAGCCGACATCTTCCTGACCCAAGGGCCCATCACTTTTCCTTTCGACTAGAATTTGGTGCTGTTGAGCTTCGCATCTTGAGTCGAAACCCACCCAAAGGCACAGGTTGACTTTGCTGGCAGACGATTCTGTTCATTCCTTTGGGGTGACTCACCCAGTGAACGTGACCCTCCAGAAGCCGACGCCACTCGACTCTTGACGTGTTTTCGTCCATTTCGCCATGAAGCGGTTTTCGCGAGAAAAAGGCAATGCGGTCTCTGCAGGACTCGAGAGGTCCTTGGTGAAAAGGGGCGTCGGATTCGTGAGCTCACTGCCCTGGTGCAGAAGCGCTTCGGCTTTCCCGAGCCGCTTGGGCTGCGGCTTTCTTATCCGTGTGCATTGGGGAAAAAGACAGACAGGCTTGTCATGAGTTGTTCATGTTTAAGATTGTTTAATATTGTTTAATTAAGATTATATAGTTGTAAAGTACCCTAGACAGCCTGACTGACCACAGGAAGAAGGTCAATAGCTGTGCCTCAAGCAACATATCTATCCCCAAGTGTGGTGAGGTAAACTGTGGGACACTTTCTGCTTTCGAGAACATGAACCTGAAAAACTTTTTTTTTTCACCAATCCATGCGAATCTCTCAGCTCGAAGGAACAGCGTGGAGCTTTTCGCAGAACGAGTCGAGAACCGTGCCAGCTGTGCCATGGCAACTTGTCAAGACGCAGAGACCATAGGTTCGTGTTGAACACCAGAGAGAGGGGGAGAGACAGAGAGAGAGAGAGAGAGAGAGAGGGAGACAGAGAGAGAGAGAGAGAGATGGTGATAGTACGTGCAGTGTTGATGCTGTTAGTATGGTGATAAAGAGATCGTCATTCTTATCTCCCCAAAATGAATGGATGGTTGGGTAGGGACATTTTGGGATTTGAAACATGTAGGGGTAACTCCTGATCTTGATGCCATTTTGGCTCAAGATCAGGGCAAGTTTTGTTTTCCGGAGAGGTTGGGGGCGGTGTGCGCTGAATGCGATCACCTACATCTGGTTTGTGACCAGTGTAGGTGTCGCCATGTGACCTGGGCGAACGGTCATGCCGCGTACATCGAGCAAGGCAGCCGGGACTCCGAGGACGCGATCGAGATCGCCGGCTGGAGGGACTGGACCAATCCATCCCATTTCGAAGCTGCCACCGGCTCGACCTCCGTTGCCGCGGTCTTCCAAGTCCTCGGCGTCACAATTTAGCAGGCCCGAGACCTCATCCGGGAGCACTTGTCCCAGGCCATCCAAGCATCCCAGTGGCTCCGCCACGACTGACCAACCGCAAGCAACCAATGACCCCCCCAGAGCCCCCTCCACTCCGTCTGACACGGCCTCGGTCCCCGTCCCACTCTCCTGGGCGTGGCCGTACCCCGGTTTTGACAGTGCGCCAACCGGATCAAGCTATGGAGGAGGAGCTGTTGGACCTGGTTGCAGATCATTCGGAAGCACTGGTGCAATTGTTTTGCCACAACGGTGTACAAACATGCCAGGATGTGTTTGGTATTTGGTCGCATGGGGATGAATTGGTGGCTGAGCTGGAACGTCTTCAGGGGCCCCTGGATGATGCCGAAGAAGCTTTTCAGGTTAGCGCCTTGTGGACGCTCGCAGCTCGCAGGGCCCATGACCACATTCGTCGCGTGGCCCGGGCCGTAGCAGGGAACCGCTTGCCGGTCGTGGAGACTACATCCATGGTGGTGGCACCTACAGGGGCTGGACCTCCTGGCAACAGGGTTCCAGGGCCTATGCTGTTGACTGGCCTCTGACCCGCGCACTAAGGGAGAGGCCAAGCGGGCCACCAAGACCCAGGCCCTCTTCGACATCCTCCTGAGCGAGTTCCTGAACCTCGAGGAGCTTGGTGTGACTTGGGAGGAGTTGGGTGACCCCGTACGGCTCCAGCAACTGAAAGACCAAATCATGCAGGGCCCTGGGCACCTTACAGAGGCTCGGCTTGAGCATCGGGGGTGTTTAGGGGTATCCAACAGGCTGACAAGTTACCTCTGGCTGAATGGTTGGGGCCTTCAGCAGCAGACGTGCAGCGGTTGATCCGTAGTCGACCCCCCCTCCATGCCAAAGAAATTTTGTCCGTCACTCAAGAAGAGATTGTAAAAGGTTTCTGCAGCCCGTTGCAAACTATGCAGGCTATGAACGATCTCTTTGGTGTTGGTGGTTGGAGAGCCGTGGAACGTTTTCTCATTGTTCAACCTGACGGCAAGCAGCGTGTCATTGATAATGCCCGCAAGAGTGGCCACAATATTCACACGTCTATGCAGGAGACTATTTCAACTGTTAATGTGGATTTTGTGGCCTCAGTTGCCCGTATGGTCAATACTACCTTGGAAACCCACCTGTGTGAACCTCCTGAGTGGCTTGATTTGCGTTTGGGCACTGACGACTTGCCTGACGCATATCGAGGCCTTCCAGTCCAAGATGACCACTTGCGGTTTTCCAATGTGGCAGTTTTTGTACTTGACGAAGGCTGGCGGTTCACTACCATGTACGGTTTAGCCTATGGATTAGAAAGTGCAGTTGTCAGTTTCAACCGTTTCCCCCAGTTGGGTATTGCGATTGCACGACGCTGCGCGCTATCCTTGTGCGCCGCCTATTTTGACGATGAACTCGCAGTTGATTTTGTGCACCATGCGGATGTCTCGCAGCGCGGACTCCAACTGGTTTTTCAACTTATGGGAGCCCCTCCACAAGCGGCCAAATCCTTTGCTCCAGGCCGTAACCGTCATTACTTAAGGTCTTCCGTGCATGTTGGAGACTTCAATAGTATCTCCCCCGACGAAGCTGGCAAGCTCCGGGGCGACCTGAACTGGATGTTTAGCATGTGCGCTGGTCAAGCAGGTAGGATCGCAGGCCCGCTACCTCACATGTTCTGTCCCCTGAGGATGCTGTCGCATTGCGGCTCTTAGCAGCCCTTGTGGCATGCCCAGGCCCCCGTGATGTGGATGTCCTACCTTGCTAACCCGTCATTGTCTACTCTGACGCTTCATTTGAGCGTGGCAGTTTACGTGTTGGCTGGGTTATTTTCCAACAGTCGAACCGACCACAGGGCTTGACCTGCGTTGTCCCCCAGGAGGTGATTCAGACTTGGGAAGACCACACACAACAGATTTATCCGGGCGAGACCCTGTGTGGCTTGTTGGTGCCTTGGTTTCATGGGGCATCCTTGCGCCACCAGGATGTCTTATGGTTCATCGATAATGAAGCAGCTGTGGCTTCCCTTATCCAGCTCCCAAATCGATGTCCACACTTTGGTCCAGCTAGCACATTTTCTCTTTCAACGATTTAGGATTCGTGTCTGGATCGAGTGGGTGGACTCAGAGAGTAACCCCTCGGATGGCCTTTCCCGAGAGGGGGTTTGTGACGCTTGGACCAGGTCACAACCTTGTGATGTGTCAGAGGTTAACTACCCGGACTCCGGTCCGTGTGTCACCCTGCACACCTTTCCCGCTTTTTAGAGACCATGGACAGTGGGTGATTTTAGAGACAGTGGGTGGTATGTTAAGTTCATCAAAGATGACATTCCAAGCTGGTCCGTGTGTTTACTACCACGACTAATACCCAGTGTTATTTTATAACACTCATTAACTTACTGTTCATGTCTCTTAGAGCGTGACAGGTGCAGCTTGATTTGCAGACTCCTTTCATTTGGGGAAAAGAAAGAGTCGTCACTGCCACTCTGGGAGTTCCCCTCATGTTTCTTATCTCCCCAAAATGAATGGATGGTTGGGTAGGGACATTTTGGGATTTGAAACATGTAGGGGTAACTCCTGATCTTGATGCCATTTTGGCTCAAGATCAGGGCAAGCTTTGTTTTCCCCACCCACCCACCCTTGACACCCTCTGCGGGCTCTATAGGGTGTGGGGGTCTAGTCGGGATTTCATACACACTCCTGTGCCGGGTGGTATGTTAAGTTCATCAAAGATGACTTTCCAAGCTGGTCCGTGTGTTTACTACCACGACTAATACCCAGTGTTATTTTATAACACTCATTAACTTACTGTTCATGTCTCTTAGAGCGTGACAGGTGCAGCTTGATTCGCAGACTCCTTTCATTTGAGGAAAAGAAAGGGTCGTCACTGCCACTCTGTGAGTTCCCCTCATGTTTCATGCAGTGATTAAGTGGCTAGTCCTGGCCGAGGCTCAGTGTGAGTCTTTGCGCTTCAAGCTGATTGGTGGCCTTGCAGTGCGCCGTGCCTGCTACGGAGTGCTGAGGCGTGAAAATGCATCCAGAGCTGTGTTTGGCTATCGTTTGCTGTTGCGAAGTCAACCTCTTCACTTCAGCAGAGGTTGGATGTCATGCAATGAATTAACGGTGCATTTTGCAGACTTGTTTGGTATAGACCTTTGGAATCCTTGGGACAAATTCAACTTGTGGCGTGAAGCCAACGCACCGTGTTCGTGATTCATGCAATCCCCTGTTCCACAAACAGCAGGGAAAAGTTGGACTGTTGCCCAGATTCATCATGGAGAACGGCGCCAAGGGAGTAGAGGTCATCATCAGCGGCAAGTTGCGCGCCCAGCGAGCCAAGGCTGTATCCGGAGCTATGACATTCATCATTCGTGTTTTGAGATAGTTTGATTTAGAGTAGCTTTCGAGATGAGAGGAACAAAACAGATGATGGGAACATATGGGAACCACTTCTGTAACAACATGCAAAGGCAAGGAGGCCAGGAACTGGAGTAGTTGGACACCTGCCAGGCCATGAAGTTTAGACAAGGCTACCTGATCTCCACGGGAGAGCCCAAGAGACACTACATCTCAGAGGCAGTTCGGCACGTGCAGATGCGTCAGGGTACCATCGGCATTAAGGTTGCTGGGCTGCAGTAGACATGAACAGGTTCTTGCAGAGTTTGCTTCAAGCAATTTAGTTATCGTATAGGCTGCTTGACTCCTGAAAGCAAATGCTGAATGTTCTGCCTTCAACTCCTGAGGTGAAGATCATGATGTCGCACGATCCTGAAGGCTTAACCGGGCATTTCAAGTCGTGTGGTACGCAATCGATTCTCATGTAACATATGGAGCTATGTAGGTGCGCGGTGTGAAGGGTATACATGAATTACATGAATGATGAAAGCAATGTGTTGTTTTTCTGGTGCAGGCAAGATGGGACCAAAGATGCAATTGCCCGACAACGTCGTTGTGCATGAGCCAAAGGAAGAGGTTGTGCCAATGATGCCACCTCCAGAGCAGGAGGAGCAGCAGTATAGCTACAACCAGGGCCAGGGCTACGACAACAATCAGGGCTATAATCAAGGCTACAACCAGGGCTACAACCAGGGCTACAACCAGCAAGAAGGTGGCTATTGAAGAAGCTTGTGCAGAAGTGTGGACAAATTGTTGTTAGTGTACGAGCAGGCAATTTGCCTTGTTTGTGAATATGACTCGACCCGAGGTAATCATGCCCGCGCCGCCGCGCCAATAAATCATAGGGATCCTAAGTTCCACTGCACAAGGCTGCAACACACGGGCAATGTCAAGGTTAAAATGATAAACCATTGGACTTCACTTGTTATGCCACTGCTTTCCTAGTGGTCCTAGCTGTTTCCATCATTATGACTACTGGATTTGCTTTTGTCGTGTCGTTTCTCCACGTTCTATTTTGTTTCTTCCTTACAGTGCCCGTTGCCTGCTGTTGCGCTATCCGATCCCAATTTGGGGTAGTGAATATAGCAACGAGTGGCCATGGCTGCATTCCAGTTGCTTGTGTTCATTTCTAGCGGACTTGTTCATCAGGTGTTCAGCACATGTTGAGAGGAAGAGTTTATTAGTCCAAGTTCCTGCACATCCTGTGTGTCAAGTTTAGTTGCCTCAATGGCTCTGGCAGCATTGAGGTACTACGCAATTGTCCAACCAACAAACACTTTCCCCGTCAGAAAGCCAGCTTTGCCCGTTCTTCTACGGGACTCACCGGTGCAACCAGCCGAGGAGATGTCTGAGTGGGGAGGAAGATCTTTCTGAGGAGCGAGTGGATGCGGCAGGAAAAGGAGTTGACGCAGCTGGTGGGATTTGAAGGGTGAGTTGATGCACACATGTTCTTTCACCAGAAGCTTTCCGTCTCAACCAAACGCATTCAAACGGTGTGAGATGCGTCATTCCCACGCCCACGGGTTCGATCGGAATTCCGCTGCCGACGACGCCGTGAACGCGCTGCTTCCACGGGTTGGTCGCCGAGTGTTTTCGCCGTCCGTGTGGATTTCGCTTGATGGGGCCGGAGCGGTTTTGTTCGGTGAAGCGCGACCGGAGTGTTTGGTCGAAGTCGTATTAGAGTATTTTCCGTTCAGTTTTTCGTTCGGTAGCACTCTGAAAAATTAAAAGCAGAGAGGGACAGATAGAGAGGTGAAGGCAAACATCTATACACACACCCCATGGTTCGACAATACACCCCAACATCTATGATATAGTGCAAGTGTCTTCCACATCCATGTGTGGTCGACGGGTTACATAGTTTTGTAGGTGCATATTGTCCTCTCTACATTGAGCAGCAAAACGCCTCAGTCAGTCTATTTGAGGCACAGGTAGTTCCTCATTTTTGGTTTTGTGGCGGTTTGGCATAGCTTTCGCACTTCTCGGAGCGCCAAGGGATGTTCACCTGCGGCAAGCTGCTTTGGATGCAGAAGTTCAAGCAAAGGTGGCACAGCAGGAGCTGAAAGAGGAGCCACCGACAGTCACTGGTGTGGTGCTTCCATGCGTTTGAGTTCTTACTCACCCCTCCAAAACCAGATATTGCAGCCTGGTAGAGACAGTGTGGGTCTACCTAGCTGTTTGGCTTGCGGGAGGACCCCTCTTGATACATCGCATCGACGTCTGCCATGCGCCGTCGATCTCGTTCTCCCTTCTTCGCCGCGGTGGAGCTTCCCCGACGGAAACCTCATGCCTTCCAGTCTAGCCCAATCAACCCTGCATGGAAAAAGGGCAGTGCGGAACCGCTTGGTTCCCCTCGGTTCCGCTGGCATGGGACGGCGCAACGTTTGTCCCGCGCGTCCATCCGTTTGGCTGCTCTACTGGATACCTCACTTCCCCTTTCTTCCCTAAAGAGCTTTGACCAATGTTCCTGATTGTGCTGTTCATGGCGACAACGCGATGAATTGTGACCCCATGTAACCAATGGCGCTTTATCACATCTTAAATTCTCATGCTTCCTTTCACCTTGCCGGCAGCAAAAGGTTCCTTTTGTTTTGCACTGACTTGAAGACTTGGTCTTGCACCTTTCTCGGCGGCGTACGGCAGTAGTGGTTTCATGTGCGCAAACAGGCCTTTCCAGACTCGGACCTCTACATCTCCCCCGCGTGGAGGCATGAGATCCCCCGCGAGAGGCACCACAACCGCAGTGGTATTTGACGCGCCCGCACCAAACCGCAGCAGACCGCAGACGGTGACGCGACCGTGCTTGGGATTACCGTGCAGCGAGGGTAAACTGGCTACAGTATGCTAAAGTTGACATGACCATCGCAACTTGTAGTCACACATTGCAATCTCCGCAGCTGAACACCGTCCATGACAAAATAGATCCTAGCTAGCTTAGCTAGCTGCTGATTTTGGCTGTGACCAGCGTCGATTTGGAAGTGGAACATCACGAATAATACATCGAAAGCAACGAGGAAGATCCCAACTGCAAAGTGCTCCAGCTAAGTAGTGATCGGACTCGATCATCAACACCGGCCATGCAATGCGAATGGCTCTTTTGCAATGCAGGAAGGGACTGAATGGAGAGCATCCCTTGGACGCTCTTCAAATGGCGCTCAGCACACTGTGTTTCCTACGGAGCCACACAAACGCACTTTCCGCCGACACCCCAAACCGGCCATGCCACTCCAAGCCGCGTTATGTAATGAACACCAAAATCCTTTTGCTCACCAGCGGCACGCCGCACCGAGGCCGAGCCACACCGCATGGCAAAACGCATTTTTGCCACCGCACTGTGTGCCACAGCCTCGACGCAACCATACGACACCAGGTGGAGGAGCCGCGCAGCAACTGACCCTCTACAGAGGAGCAGGCAGCTGTGGAGGAATCGCGGCGAGTCTACAGCGCAGCAGTGAGCTGTGAAGGAGCCGCGGCGACCCGGTAACCAGTGCGGACCTGCAGCCGACCCTCTACAGAGCAACAGGCAGCTGTGGAGGAACAGTGGCGACCCGGCCCCAGGTAACCAGCGCGGACCGCAGCAACAGCCGGCCTTCAACAGAGCAGCCGAAAGCTGTGGAGGAATCGTGGCGACCCCAAGGCTGCCGGACCCGGGACCGTAGCAACAACCGACCCTTTACAGAGCACCCGGCTGTGGAGACACTGCGGCGACCCGACAACCAGTGCGGACCTGCAGAGGAGCAGCCAGCTGCGGAGGGCGGCCCGGTAACCAGCGCGGACCCTTGATAGAGGAGCAGTGAGCGGTGGAGCCGCAGCTGGTCGGTATCCAGCAACGCGGACCTGCAGCAAAAGCCGGCCCACTACAACGGCGGCCTGGTAACCAGTGCGGACCTGCAATTGGGAATGAGGTATGTTCAGGAAACCAACATTTTTTTCCGGCGTCCGGGCACATTCAGCGATCAAAGCGGGTGAGGCCGGGTGAGGAGAATTTGACTGGCTGCGCAACATCACATAACACATCGCGTGTTTCGCCTTTTTCCCGAATGCGTAGCGAAGGGTTCTCGTTTAACTCTGGGGGTTTGGGGGTAGAGCGTTGTTTGCGACCCGTTGTTTCTAAGTTCGCAACCGTCCGCAACCGTTCGCAACCGTTCGCAACCGTCCGCAACCGTCCGCAACCGTCCGCAACCGTCCGCAACCGTTCGCAGTAGAGCGCTAAGGCGCTGCCATTGGGGGAAGCTTTTGGAGAGGGTTTTGGGTGAAACGTGACGCGTCAGATTCGTGTGAAATAGCGAGGAATCGTGTGGAAATGTAAGACGTTGAAGTGTGGAGTTTTGTGAGACCTGCAGTTTACTGCGCAGTTCCATTGGGACTAGCGTTTGGAGAGTCGTGTTTTTGGGGTGTGGGATGTGGCCGTGCCATTGGGATTTGCGTTTCAGGGTGTGGCATCGAAGCTCTGTTTTCGTGACAAGTCTCATCTGAAATGGCGATTTTGGTGGATGGGAGTGTGCTCAGAACGGATCGAAATCATTCCAATCGTGTGGTGTGGTGCAAATTTTGTTGAAGCTCACATGAGATGATATTGTCACTTTTCGTGGCAGGCGCAGTACTTTGTGCGGGCTTTGAGGCGTGGAAGTGTGCTTTTCGTGGCAGGCGCAGGGAATCGTGAGGTTGCGAGGTGTGACGGACGTGACATTGCGTGGCAGCCGCAATAGTTTGTGCGCGTTAGACGTGTGGACGCGGAAAGATGCGTGGCAGGCGCAAGGAATCGTGAGGTTGTGAGTTGTGGTAGAGGTGACTGTCGTTGTCCCATTGGGATTGGCGTGCGAGCGGGTGTTGTTTGGAGGGGCTGGAATCGCGAAACTGCTTGGCAGGGCTGCGTGATGTGTGTGCTCCGATGGGTGTTTCCGCTTGACTTTTTGGAGGAAGTCTCGTACGAAACGCTCGTTTTGCAGACTTTGACATGTGAGTTTTTGAGGAAGTCTCGTACGAAACGCTCGTTTTGGGTTTTGGAGACTTGACATGTGACGCTTGGAGGAAGTCTCGTACGAAACGCTCGTTTTGGAGACTTGACGTGTGACCTTTGGAGGAAGTCTCGTACGAAGCGCTCGTCTTGCAGCCTCGAAGCGTGTGTCCTATACAGGCACTGACCCAGACAGAGTGTCCCGCCAGAGTGTCCCGTATGAGTGTCCCGTATGAGTGTTCCACCAAAGTGTCCCACAAGAGTGTCCCACAAGAGTGTCTCACAAGAGTGGCCCTCAAGAGTGTCCCACAAGAGTGTCCTATAAGAGTGTCCCACAAGAGATCACAAGAGTGTCCTACAAGACTGTCCCACAAGAGTGCCCTACAAGAGTGTCCCACAAGAGTGTTTCGCAAGAGTGTCCCGCAAGAGTGTCCTACAGGAGTATCCCACAAGAGTGTCCTACAAGAGTGTCCCACAAGAGTGTCCCACAAGAGTGTCCTACAAGAGTGTTTTACAAGAGTTTCCCACAAGAGTGTCCCACAAGAGTGTCTTCTACGACGAGCACGGTGCGCCCCACGATGTCTGGCAGGGAGAGG